GGGGTAATTAACTATAGGGGCTTGCGCCTATAGGAAATCAAAACTTAGATAAAAAAAGTCCTCACAAAATGAGGGCAAATCTCTGGGTAGTGTCTTATCTAAAACTCAATCTGCCTTCTAAAAATTCACTCGAAACCTAATCTCGTTAAAACTCTACGTCATCGTCATTAAAAATAAAAATAAAATAGATCGATGGTGCGGAGAGGCCGGTATCACACTTAAATAGAATTTTTGGAGCCCACAAAGTTGTCCCAAACAAAACCTAAACTAAAACAATCAACTAAATGCCCATCATTTTGAGTAATATAAACTAGTAGTTGATTACTTTCCATAATTTCCAGCAGAATATTCCATAAATTCGAATTCTTATTCAGAAGAAGAGGTATATTCCAGTCATATAGATAAATTCATCCATACATATATGCACCAAATAAAAATTATTTTTATCATTTGAATCTATAATGTCTACATCATCATTAAGTTAATCACTATTATAAGCCCAGCAGCACTTGTTAACTTAAATAATCACAATTTAGATTTTTTTTTCAAACTTGCTAGCTTCAAGAGGAATGTGATAATAAACTTTTATAATTATAAATTTTTAATTTAGTATATTAGATCCTCCCTCCTTTCTCCTAAAAAAAATTAATTGAAGTAAAATCTCATAACTCTTAATATCTTCTATGTTTTTTTCCTTTCCATTGTCATTATTTATGATCTTGAATTAGTTGAAGCTCTCATCACAACTTGGGCAATATGATTGTAAGTGGTAGAGATTTAAATACTTAAAACATTTGACTGCCACCAAAATGGTGAAAAACAGCATATTTATCATTAAATTACATAGAAGCGGTAAAAAAACTGCTTTAAAAAACAGTAAAAAACTTATTTCAAATAAAATCATAGTCTCATAGGATATTGCAAATAATATTCCACATAATTTAAATACTTTACACAAAGAATTTATGCTGAGAACTAAAAAAACATTATACTTATTTACCTCAACATATTCCAGCATTTATTTGAATCCATAACATCATAACATATAGTAACCTTCAATGCGAAATGTATATTTAAAAGAATTAGATTCCACTAACCTTCAACAAGAGGTTCATTTACAAGGAAAAAACGAAAGAAAAAAAGAATGGCGATAAACAGCTCTTCGTAAAATTTTGTATAACAATTCCTTCTATTCTGACCGTCATCAGCAAGGAGCTACCCTCAAGCTCAGCTTCACCTGCATATACTTGGCCACCTGCAACCGTTTCAGTCCTCCTAACCTCTTAACAATGGCAGCTAGGCCACTCAAAGAGGGTGAATATGGTAAAGCCATCATAAAAATAGATGATATTTGGCAAAAGAAATTAACAGATTGGTAAGTAAATGAGGCATCATAATCTGGGTGCAAAAGTTTAACAAAGCTATATTGTTACTACTATAGATGTGTGTCAAAACAATAGCTGATAAAGCCATTGCTTTCTCCTTCCATAAATATACATGTCTACAAATATGTGCAAGATCAATCCTGGTACCAGTATTCAATCCTGAAAAGCCTGGCATAGCCAATCCTGGATGGCAAGTTTCAAAGCATGATTGGGAAAAAGATTTAAGTTTTCAAGTTCTAAATTAGTCATAGGTGACGTCGCACGACCATTGTCGAGCCATTCTAGAATGGCAGTCCTCTCATAAGTGAATCCATCCGCCGCCGCCACCGGGTCATACATAATTTCCTGCAGTGCAAAACACATCACAGCATATAAAGCTCAGAAGATTGCATTTGTTAACGTATAGAATGCTCATTATTAGCAAACCATATAGGCTTTGATTTAAGCAAGTTAACTTCTTCCGGTCATCGGAAAAAAATAGAAGCACTCAAGATGTAAACTTCTCAGGTTCCTAAAAAGAATGCAAGTTTGATACCGCATACATGGTGTAAAACTAATATTCTTATTTAGGTTTGGTTTGAGACGACTTTTTTACTGCTTCTTAAAGTACTTTTTTACTACAAAAATTAAAAAAAAGTTGTCCCAAAGTTAGCCTTAATTTCAGTCTAGGATTACAACAGTGATATATAATGAGAAAATTACTAAAATGAACACTGACTGTTCATAAAGTACTATGATGATCACGGACAAGATAAAGCTCTCAATTTAGTTCCCCAACTCTTTAAATAGTGACTCAAATGATTTTGTCATCCAAACTAATGGAAATTAAAGTTAATTGTGTTAAAAATATGAATATTTTTTTAAAAAAAATTTCTTGAAATTTTTACTAAATCTAATTTTCTAAATATTATTATTACATTCATTAAAAGTTAAAAAAATCAAAAAATTAAAATTAGCTCAAATCATAATTAATTATCTCATTCTGTTGAAGAGATCCCCGAAATTCCTCGCATCTCCTACATGAATTTCTGCCTGAATCTCGCCTCTCAGCCACTGCTCGTTCCCATCGTTAAAATGCCATGGAAATGAAGCTTGCGGTTTTCTCTTCGTTCCCATTGAACACCTCAACTCCGATCTCCACCTCCCAGCATACTCAAAGCCGTACGTCCCTGTCAAATCCTGCAAAAACCCTGCTGATCCAGTTGCTAGCTCCAAGCCGCAAACCAACTTCCTCCAACCAGCATGCTGTATCCCTCTTCTCTCTATAAGTCGAGCCCCTTACAATCGACTGACCTATTCGAAGACTATTGTGACCGAACCTCTACCCGATACCCTGCTTCAACCCCCATCAAAGCAGCCACCCCTATCAAAGCAGCCACTCACACAAATCCTCACAGATTTATAATAGCCGCATTTATCCAAGTTAACCCATTTTCCTTTATTTTTTTATTTCTTTTTTATTATCATTATCATCAGTTACTGTTGTTGCAGGCTAGAATATACGCGGCGATAGAGTCTTAATTACACGTCTTAATTTTGCACGGATATCCAGCTCACACACAGAGAACACAATATTTTTTACGTGGAAAACCCTTGAAATGGGAAAAACCACGGGGGCTAGCCCAGTTGAAAATGATTCCACTAGAATATGAGTCGGTTACAATGGGCTGACTCGCCTAAGAGGGCGATCAAATTACAAGTAACAATTGTACGATGAAAATTCGGGTGTCAGGTGATGTTCTGACAGAATTTCGGGTCTCAGATGATGGTGTGGCAGAACTCCGGGCCTTAGGTGATGATCTGACAAAGTCGAGCGTCTCAGGTGGAGGTCTGGCGAAGGTGAAGGCCTCTGACGGTGGTCTGGCAAAAGTGAGGCCCTCAGGGGATGGTCCGGCGAAGGTGAGGGCCTCCGGCGGTGATCCGGCGAAGGTGAGGGCCTCCGGCGGTGGTCCGGTGAAGCTCCGGTGGTGGTTCGGAGAGACTCCGGCGGTGGTACGGCAAGACTCCGGCGGTGGTCGAGGATGAACTTCTTCCTTCTCTTCCTTCTCTTCTTGCTTGGGTCCCTTTTCAAGAGAAATGAGGGGTCTATTTATAGATTTCTAGAGTGGCATGGCCCGTAAATAAGTGAGAGATCAAGAGTAAATGGGGAGTGGTTTGATGGACGGCCGATATTGAATCCCTTGATCATGGACCGTTCATAAGGCATTTGGAGGCCTTAATGATTTCATAATTCAGTGATGTTGGGCTTGTTGGATTTGTCTCGTTGAGCTGCTCGATTCGAACATAAGCTCGTCATATTTGGAAACTGTTTGGTAAATCAAATAGTGGTACGAAGCTTCTAACAACACTTCGGGTCCTTGATTTGGGCTTGGATTGAGTCGAATTTGGTGTCATTGGGTTTGTGTTTCCGAGACGCTCAATTTGAATGTAAGTTTGCTGAAATCGAAGTTCAGGTGATCTCGAATTTAATTTTTGAAGTTTCCGGATTGATTTTGCATCGCATCGAGATTCATGCCCGATCAAGATAATTTTTTGATGACATATCAGTTGCCCCCCTATTTTCGAACGTCGAAGCTCCATAAGTCTGAAAATACTTGTTCCGATTTTTTACGATGGCCGAATCGTAAAAAATTGCATTCCAAAAATTATAATGTTGTCAAAATTTGATCATAGAGGGCCCGTTGAATTCCAAAAGTATCAAAATTGAGTCTGAAACATCGAAAAATGTGTCCGGGACCCCAAAAATGTTGAATTCGGACCGTCCGGGCCGAAAATCGGGCCTGGACACGCGTAGGCGGCCGAACTGGCCGGCCGGCCGGCCCCAAGGTCTATCACTTTGCAAGGAAGTCCGGAGATCCCCCTTCTTCCTCAAATACCCTTGAGTAGGAGAAATGTCGGGTGATCGTCTTCCATCGAGAGATCTTGTGAGGGTAGATGAGACAGCATCAACTGTTATGAGTGACTTCCTGATTCTTTTCCGCAAGAATTTTCATTTCCCAAATGATGTGGTGATGATTTTCCCTAAGAGGTCCGATCGGGCTAGCCTTCCTCCTCCCGGGTACTTGACTGTCTCTGAGACTCGCTTGCAAGCGGAGTTACATTTTCCACCTCCTGCTAAGTTGATCGAAATTTTACGGCGATATGGGGTGAACCTATCCCAATTTTCATACAGAGCGATGTCAGTGACTGTGGGATTGATTGCGCTCTTCAGGGATTGAGGAGTTGTTCTGATGCCTGAGCACCTTCACGGACGCGTCGTCTTACTAGTGACACGCATGGGCGTGTAACATTCAGATCCAAATGGTTGGATGTGCGTACCCGTGATCCTTCAAAAAACTGGGCCAATGCATTTTTCTTCGTGAAAAATAATTGGGGCCTGATGGAGAAGTGGGGGAAGATGAAGGATCTGTCAGCCCCTCTGCATGTCGGGGAAGAGGACATAATGAGGATCCTCAAGGTTCCTGACATCGAACATCTTCTATTCGAGGTTCGTCATATGAATAGATATACCGAGGAAGAGTTCTTGTTCAAGGTTAGGTTGTCTTTCCACGCTGAAGGTCCGATGTAATGATGTTGAAGCCAACTTCTAAGGTTCTCGAGCCCCCTGCCTCAGCTTCAAAGGTGGCTCCTAAAAGACCGGCTATAGATGAAGACCCCCAGATTTTGAAGAAGAGGAGGTTGGAGGGGATTGCGGTCAATACCGATAAAGCTCTACCTGACTCTTCCCCATCCAAGTTTCACATCCCTGAGGATGTCTTGAACCATCAATGTATTGGACGCCGCAAAACTGACGATATGGTGAGTAATATCTTCCTAATACTTTTTCTCTTTTTCTTCTAGGGTGGATTCTAATGCATTTTTTTATTTCAGTTTTTGCACCTTGGAATCGAGCTCATCGACGCTTTGAATGAATGAAACAGTGAATTTGTGAAGATAAAATATCTTTAAGGAGAATTCAAACAAAAGTACGATCAGAAGACCAAGGAGGTAAAGGTGCTTGAAGGGGAGTTGAGCAAGAGCAGGACTGAGTTGGCCAACACAATGCACTCCTTATCTCTTCAAAATCGGCAGACAGATCGACATCAAATTGATCTAGTGGAGGCACAAGCGACAATCACCCGACTTTTGAAGGATTAAAAGGCCTCCGAAGAGAAGATAGCGTTGCTTGAGGCAAAGGATAAGAGGTTCCAGACTCTTATAGCTAAGAAGGAGTCCGTTTTGTCTGGTTCAGGACCTTCAAGAGTTATTGAAGATTTCAAGAAGTCCATAGCTTTCAAGACCATCATCCAGGATCACGTTCAGGAGGCTCGAGATCATATCTATGATATAGAAGTGAAGGACTTGGAGAAGTAGTGTATTGATGATGGATTCATCCAGGGCTTTTTGAAGGGAGTTCGCCTGATGCAGTGGGAGACTGGAGTTCAAGTCGAAGGCGAGACTCCTAGCCAGGCTTCAGATGACTTTCCTCCAGACTTGGATGGCAATGAAGTTGAGAGTGAGCTGCAGAATGCCTTTGCTATTGATGTGGATGATGAGACTGTAGATATTGAGTAGTTTTTTATTTTCTGCTATCTGTACCACTTTATCTTTCTTAGCGATTGTGATGTATTAGATGATTGTATTCATATATGTAATCTTCTATGATTTAATAGAAAATTGTTGATATTTTTGTTTGACTAGTAAACTTTTCAGTGCCCTTATTCATCCTGATTGAATTTTATTTATGTAGGTTTAAGGTACTTGACTTGTTTAAGGCTTTTAGTTAATGCATTCTAACTTGTGTGGAGGAGGTTAGGAGAATCTATAAGGATGTATGACCTATCTGAGGTTATATGTTAGAGCGTTGCTCGATGACTCTAACCTGTGTAGAAGAGGTCGAAAGAATTCACCAAGGATGTGCGACCTATCCGAGGTTATTTGCCAGAGTTTTCCCTGTGTAGAAGAGATCGGATCGAATCCCCCTGGGACTGATCATCCAGTGATTGAGGTGCAACAAAGAGCACGTATGCCTCAAATCAAGGATATAAAAATTAAGTGACACCCACCTAGGGTGTTTGACCTATCTGAGGTTGTCGATTCAAGCATTATTTAATACTTTTTAACCTGTGTGAAAGAGATCGGATCGAATCCCTCGATGATTAATCATCCAGTGATTGAGCTACAATAATTATTCTGTGTTGCTCGAATCAAAGATTTCAAGATTGAAGTTCATAGCTCGTGCGAATCCGTCAATATAATAATATAACTCTATGAATGAACATAATTTTTCTATATTAAACAAATACGTACATCCCTGATATAACTTAGAGATGAAGAAGTTATCACAAACAACAACAACAACGTTT